AAAAAAAAAAAAAAAAAAAAAAGTTTAAAACCTACAGAACTACATGGGTCATTTCCGGCGTTCCTGCCAACTTCAACATCCTATGAGTAAAATCACTTCACACAGGGAGGCTGGCCGGTGGACATAGTAGGGGGCCATTCATGTGACCACTAGATAGGGGAGCACTTTTCAGTTTACTCAGCATTTGCCTGACCATATTTCATTTCAGACTCACAGCAACCTTGGAAATACACAGACTTTTACTGCCATTTTTCAGACTTGCTTATCCTTACTTCTCATAGCTACTTATAGACAGATTACTATCCAAGCCCAGACTTCCGGATACATGGGATGCTTCCGGCTTAAGAATAATTACATAATAATCAGGAATATTGATCAAGTGCTTTGTAGGGGCTAAGTATTGCTCTAAGTACCTTACATGTCCCAATTCATTTAATTCTCACAACGACCCTATGACTATTGATAGTCAAAATTTGCGGCTGAGGAAATGGAGACACACAAACGTCAAGGGACTTGGCCATGACCACACACTGGTAACTAGCAGAGCTGAGATTTCCACCTTAGCAGCCTGCTCTATGTCCCATGGACTTTGACACTATGCTACTTGTAATTATATTGTCAGGTAGGTAAGGCTCGAGAAACACCCTTACTGACTGTCTGAATGACTTTAAACCTAGCTAGTATTTATTGGTTGCTGAATATAGGTCAAGATTTTTACTCACATGGACCCTGGAGATAGGAACTGTTATTCCTGCCACTCTTGTTGTTTAATACATAGGGAAACTGAAGCCCAGAGCATTTAAGAATTGGCCCAAGAGCCCAGAGTACATGGAAGAAGCAGGATTTAAACTCAAGTCATCCAATTCAAGCACCTACACTCACTTTTTCTTGAAAGGCCAGATAGTAAATGTTTTAGGTTTTGTTGCCCAAGAGGAAAAATTAAGCATGTTACATGCATGTTTATATAATCATTTAAAATGAACCACTTAAAATTCAAGAAGCATTCTTAGCTTGGAGCCTCACAGGAATAGATGACAAGCTATCTGTCCAATTTTGACAGTGCTGGTTGTTGCCTCTGGTTGGGCCCAGGGTAAAAGCTTGGGACCTTCATCGACTCTCAAAAGGGAGAAATATTTGAGATCAGGTGCTCTCAAACCATACTCTATTCGCTCATAGAAGCAGAGCCTGCCATGGGATCAGAGGTCTCAGTGACTCAGTGGCATAGGAATGGAGTTACCTTCTTTAAGGGCCAGCACCCAGCGCTGCCGGCTCTCGCGGTCTGGAGCAAACACATACAGGAGGTAGTTGTCATGCACCACCTGGAGACACACACAGAGTCCCAGGTGAGTAGGGTCCCCAAAGACGGTAATAACAACAGGCCCCTCTGGTTTACAGGGCTGAGGATGGGGCTTCGGATGCTTGTCTTTCTTTAAGTAAAGCTGGATGATTAGGGAACCAGTGTCCTTTTTGTCCAGATGATTGTGCACTGTGTAACTGGAGGATGAATCTCCACAACTCAGGCTGTCGTCAGAGATTTGGGCCACAAAGAAAGCAATAGCTAAGTTAAGACAGCAAGAGAAAGTTCTCCTTTTGTCTGGGTAGCACATTTATTTCTCTTAATTTTTCAGTGATTAAAAAATATTCTGCCAGCATATTTAAGAGCAAGATGTTAGATGACAAGTTTGTACTGAGGATTTTTCAAAACTTTCCTGTTTTAAAATCTTTTAAGATTCACAAGTTCCAAAAATAGTACAGAGTTCCTGTCTGCTTCTACCCACCTCTCCCCACTGATAACATCTTACATAACCCCAGCGTATTTTTAAAGCAGGAAATTGACATTGGTATAATACTATCAACCAGGATACAGATCTTTGAATTTCACCAATTTTTTTTCATGTACTAATTTGCAATTGGGACTTTTAACAACTGGAAATCTGTCATTCCTTTCACTTTCAGTCCCAATAATTCCAACTCATGGGGGCCACTTTTCTAGTAGCAAAAGATTCCTTTTCTACCACAGTAAAAATAGAATATTCACCCCTCAGGTTGGCAAGCAACAATGAGACACTGGAATATGCCAGGAGATAGCTGCTCCTTGGAGTCATAAACGTCAAGAGTGCTAAGCCAGATAAAGACTCCAAAAGGACACCCTCCAGCACTGTCCAATAGAACATTCTGAGAAATATTCTGTAAAGTGTGCAGTCCAATGCCAGCCCTATTAGCTATACAGGCCACTTACTGAACATGTATAATATGCCCAGTGTGATTGGGGAGCTAAAATATTAGTACACTTAATTTTAATTAATGTAAAAGTAAGTGTCAACAATCATATGTTGCAAGTAGTTAAGGTTTTTGGGCAGCCTGATCATTTTCAAACAGTCCTCAGATTATAAAACCGAGATTTCTTTCCTTTGGAAACACCAATAAATTTATGACCCTGAATTATAATTTGTGGCCTCAAATCATGAGCAAACTAAGGGGAAGTGGGAAGGGTAGTGGGAAGGAAATAAGGGGAAAGAAAAAACACGAGAAAAAGAAAAATATGAACAAGTCTTTGTAAATAGGGAAGGGTGAAGGGGTGAAGGGAGGGCAGGGGAATAGGGAAAAAACAAGAACCAAGATCTGTCGATACAGGATCCCAATGATGAATGTAACTGTATTGTAAACCTAAAATGTACCAATAAAATTAATGGAAAAAATATGAAAAAAAAATCATGAGCAAATGGTACTTAAAGCACTCTAGGCTAGGCTCATCAATAAAAGCTTTTTTCCTTTCCCCAGGAGCAGAGTAGTTAGGATTTTCATTGAGGCAGGGGAGATAAAAGAGAAAAGAACGCAGAATAACATCTTTTTCACCATGTTGTGCTTAGCCTTTGTGGAGTAAGTGAATGTGTGAACATCACTGACTGAAAGAACAATGCAGAAATTTCCTTCTGGGCTTGGTCTCACTTCTAAGCCTGGACCAAAGTAGTTCCTTTCCCATTTTCTCTCAGAGAGACTTAGGGTTTTAACCATCACCCAGGGAATGGGAAACTATCCACTGTAGGCCTGATGGACTTACCTGAAATGGGTATTTATAGTGGCATGGGATGCTGATGTCACTTTTTACAATCTCCACGCATTTGATTCGGGAGAGTTCAATGGATCCCTTCAAAGTGCGCTTTTTCTGTGAGAAGATAAGAATATCCCATTTAAGTAAGAGAGAAGATGATGTTTTTGTCCAGGCTGCTTCTAAAAATCTGCTACTAGAAAAGTTCCACTAGAATTTTAAATCATATCTCATTCCCTTGCAGACATACTTTCTTGATAGTGAATCCATGCATATGACAGTTTGTGATGTATAATGATGTTACATGTCACCCATTTCTAAAGGACTTCATTCTTGGAGGAGGGCAACAGGATGCCTTACTCAATGGGACAGATTCTATTGGTGGATGTCAGCTCTAAGGAAAGAAAACACTTTTGGAGACCAGAAGCCCTTCCTAGATACCTAGACTTAGGTTTCCATTGAAAAATAGGTTAATTCAGCCATGGAACCAGCTGCAAGACATGTCACTAAAACTTACCCTTCCTAACAGGGGGGCAAACAGTGAGGATAGTAAATCAGCACAACATGGGAAGGGTGAGGCTCGAAGTTGAATTCATTCTTGAAGGAAGGGATTAAGAGTCCTTGGCTGGGCATTGTGGCGCATGCCTGTAGTTCCAGCATTTGGGAGGCTGAGGCAGGAGGATCGCTGTGAGTCTGAGATCAGCCTGGACTACACAGCGAGTTCCAGGTCAATCTCAACTACATAGTGAGAGTGTATTTACAAGTGTATTTGGCCGGTCTTAGGAACCATGACATCACCAGTATCTCCAGAGGTGACCTAAGCCTTTACTTTCTGATTTTTGATTACCACCAGCCTGGAAATTGATAGTTGAGGTACAGGACTCAGATGAACAATTATGATGTAAAAAATAGACCCTATCAAACACGGAAGTTCTGTAATAATTTCTTTTAATTTTTCATTATAAAAGTTATTTCATTCGTGAAAGTACAAAACACATCCATGTTTAGACAAATAAAATAATATGGAAGCACACAAAAAAGATAATTATAGCACATCATTATCCCACCCTTCTTCAGCCCTGACACAGCCAAGGTTAACCATTTGGGACAGGTTGATCTTTCCCTTGCACATTTATAGAGTATATTTAAACACAAATAAGCATTTGTCCTACATATTGGGCTGGAAATTACCTTCGTAATCCACTGATGCCTTAGGAGGTCTGTCTTTCTATAAAAGCCTCTGGAAACATCAAACAGTCTCCTCATTTTGGTCTCCCACAGCCAGAAATACATGTCCCAGGGCTTCCCATAATCATAGTCCTTAGGAATGGCTAATTTGTATTTTAAAAACAGAAGACCACAGAGAAACCACCCCTTCAACAACCGTCTCCAGCTCCTGGTGAATCGGGCCTGAGCTCTGAGGTTACCTTTCTTCTACTGCTGTAAGGTTATTTCCTGGGCACAGGGAGAACATTTTTAAACAACTGTAATGGGCTTAAGGTTAATGCATCAAACTGCTCAGAAAATACTGATTGAGGGCCCACTATGAACAAGGTGCTGTTCTGAGTTCAGGGAATCGAGCAAAGAGGCTCACGTTGTACATAAGGTCCCCACCTAATGTTTTTACTTAGGGTATTTTGTCTTTGCAGCACTACAAAAGCATTCGGATGAAAGTATACTTTGATTTTTGAATTTTAATCTTTTTCCTAGGCTGGCAATATGAACTTTGATGCTCTCTTGAGATGCTGCCCAGCCGTGCAAGCCACACTACTGGCTGGCTGCATGGTCACGAGGGAACAGACCAGATACTGCAGAGTGGGCTGCACTGCTAAGGTGTGGCAGAGGAAGTGCATCTGTGATTTATAATACTTCCAACTTAGGACTAGTTTATCAGGATGTGACCCCATTATAAGTGTGGGAAGGCAGAAAGGACAGATGCTATGGAGAAAATGGAACAACTTGTGTTTAGGTTAGGCCTAGAGAGAGGACTCCGGAGAAGAAATCAGGAAGCCAGATAAGATCCATCTGCCAAAAGATGTAGGGGAGTGGGTGTCCTTGTTAGAGCAAACAGCACAAGCAAAACCCCGGGGCAGAAAAGCACTAGGTAAGAATCTCATTGCAATCAGGCCATAAAATGGAGGTAAATATAAACTGGAATTAAGAACAGGGATAAAAATTCTATGTGAAGTTGAAATAAAATGTAAGCCATGCATTAATTTAAAAAATTTTCAGGAGGCACATTAAAAAACAATAAAAAAATAAAATGAATTTGGCAATTGTGTCATTTAACCCAATATTGTACATCTAGAAGGCTATCATTTTCAACTATAAGCATCATAAAAATTAATGCAGTATATTTCTTATTGCTACTGTCTTTGAAATCATGTTTTCTAACACATCTCAGTTTCATCTGGCCTTGTTTTAAGTGCTCAGCAGTCACGCGCATGTCAAGGAAGTTTTCCCCTCTTAACTTAGATGATCTCTTTTGATTTCTTAATATTCATTGATTCCAAACATGGATTGTAAGAGACTTTGGCCCATCGGGGGAACCTGCTCCTAGCTTTGTTCTTCTGTTGGAATGGGTTCCGTGATCCACTGCCAACCTCAGGCTCATATTCCCAACTCAGTGCTTCTGTCCACTGTGCCTGTGTCTCTCCAGGGCCTGAGGCCAGTTGTCCTTGACTCTCACAGGATCTAACACTGTGTACTTCTCAGTCGGTCACTGGGGAGCAGCTGGTCTTGAGTAAACGCAGAGTTCAGTGTCTGGGAAACAGCAGTTGCCTATAATCATCCCTAACCACTGTGTTATTTCTGCAAAAGGCCAGGGCAAACCCTTCCAAGGAAACCACACGAAAGCCACCAGCGAGACACCAATTAAAACCCGCTGTCATCCTTATTCGTTCTTCTGTCTGCACCACTCTGGATGAAAGGCATAGGACTTTGCTTAGCCTTGTTTCTCTTGGCTGTGTTCACAGCTCTACTGACCTCACATTCTGATGTCTCATCCAGACATCTGTGTGTATCAAATGCAATCCAGGATGCTGATGCGTAGAAACTGTAAATGGCTTTTACATCTTCCTTTTTATGTTAATTCTGTCGTGAATTTGGATTGTGAATTTTAAAGACAGAGGCGGCAAAAATTTAAAAAAAGACAATGCTTTTAGGCACGCTTATACTCAGTACCCCATCTCATTTAATCATGATCCAACAAAGTTGGATTCTTATCAGTGTATTGTGAGAAAACTGAGGCTCAGAACATCCATCTCTTTTAGAGCAAAAGCAGCACAACAGATTAATTCTGTAACTCCAGAGCCTCAGCAGTTAACCACTGTGCTTCATAGCTCTGTACTTGCTCTGACTTTCACAGGAAAGTTTCATTGCTCAAGATCAACGTTGAACAACCCATTGCATGACCTATTTCTCCAAGCCGTGACCTAAAAGTGTTATTTCTGCTCAATTGGGCTGTGCAAAGGTGGAGCACATTTCTTGGTTCCTTAGGGTGACAACTCCTGTTTAGTGACAGTGACCCCTTGGTCACTCTGCTAGTTCAGCAGATACCTCCGTGAGAAGTTATGGGTTGGTGACCCTTGGAAAGGGGACATTCTCAATTTCATATTTCTACTCTGGAGAGGCAGCATGAGGAAGAACTGGGCCCTTTAGTTAAGGTTCAGTTCAGGTTTGAACCCTCACCTCATTCTTTACAGAGGTGCAACTTGAGGCAAGTGTCTGAATCTCTTAGTCACCTTTAAAAAGTGGTACCAAATAACCTTGGATCAATGGGCATTTTAGGAGAACTTAAAACAACTACATATATCTACCACAAATGAATGTCCTTCAAATGATAAAGTGGGCACTTAATATTACTTCCTTTCAGTTCCTTTTCCAAATGCTGCCTATAAATGAGAACTTGCTTTTTTTTGTCTTCATGTGTCTACATTTTCTCTGGGGATTTTCTTTTGGGCAAAAGTATAATTAGGAAACACTATTGGGGAGGACAATTCTTTTTTTTTTTTCTAGCTTTAATTGAGTTTATTGGTACATTTTAGGGATACAGTACAGTTGCATTCATTGTTGGAATCTTGTACCTCTACAGGGGAGGACAATTCTTAACTGGTGATAGTGGTCACTTTTCATAATAAGAATCATTTGTTTATTTTGCCAATTACTTGTATAATCAGGGAAAAACCACGAAAGGGGCTAGTTTCCCGATCTTCCCAACTGTGTCACACTTTTTCTCATAGGGCTTTAGCTTTGCCTCTGGCATCCCTTCTTCTTCTCCTATAAAAACCTTCCCCTGACACTCATAAAGTATAATGTAGCTGACGGCCTAAATCTTGGCTTGTTTCTGAGGAGCTTATCAGAGGGAGATTTGGTGATGGAATTTTAGGCATCAGCTGAGAGCATTCTTTCACTCACACAAAGTAATGGTGCATTTGAGACTTTCTTGGGATCTCACTCTAACAGTAATGATATGTAGACGTATCTGAATTTTCCTGAGTCCAGGGAATCTTTCTTATGATGGTTCAAGGCATTTCAAATGTTTTGTTCTATGCCTCTTCTGGGTATAGTACAGCTATTGTACCATCTGAAATTGGCAGTGGCACAAATGAAATTAAAACTGATGTCCTATTGAAGTAAAACTTAAATGGTTGATTTGGGGATTGTTTCCCCCACCCACAGCAGAATGCAGGTTCGTAGTTCTGAAATTGATTTTTAGGGAGTCTTCCTAGATTTGGGTTTCAAAGCCTGCTTAAGGGGAGCTACAAATTCCTTGCAATTTTCCTCACTCAGTTTTCTGTGTCTAATGAAAAAGTGTGCTCTCAAACAGTACGCAGAAGCAAGCAGGGATTCAGGACTTGCAAAAGCCAGGGTCTGAATCCCTGCAGGGACTGTGGTGTTCGGTCAGCGGAGTACTTGGAGCTCAGTTCTCTCAGGTCCTCTGGGTTCTCTTAGCTCTTTCGTACCAATGCAGATACAGGGAGCTCTGCTCAGGGCTATTGTAACCTGAGCCTTGGGAACTCAAGAAAAGTTGCAATCACTGATGTCTCTATGGGAAAAGTACTGTTAGGTAAGAGAAGCCAAGCAAGTGTTATTAGCTGTTGCTAAACCCTCCCCAC